GAGGGGAGAGGGGAGAGGGGAGAGGGGAGAGGGGAGAGCGGAGCGGGAGCCGGCGCGGGGAGCGGGGCCGCCGCGGTGCCCCCGGTTCCCCCGTCCCCGGCGCGGGTCGGGCTGCAGCCGGCAGCCCCCATCGCCGGGACCCCGCGGCTCCATCCCGTGCCCGGCGCCGCCCGTGCCCACCGGCGGCCGGGGCGGAGCGGCGGGCGCTGCGCAGCGGCGGCGGGCGGGGCGGGGGGCGGGCGGCCCCGGCCGGTTAAAGCGGCAGCGGCGCCGGGCGCTGCCCAGTGCCGGTGCCGGAGCGCGGCGGGCAGGGCAGGGCAGGGCAGGGCAGGGCAGGGCGGCCGAACCCGCAGCCCTCCCCCGGCCATCCCGGCCGGCCCGGGCCCCGGGGAGCGCGGGGCAGCGCCCGGGGCCGGCGGCGGCGGCATCACCATGGGCCGGCCGGGCAGGGTGCTGCGGCTGCTGGCGCTGCTGGAGCTGCCCTGCTGCCTGCTGGAGCTGCTGCTCGGGGAGGCGGCCCGCGGGCAGGAGATGTACGCGCCGCACTCCATCCGGCTGGAGGGGGACATCACCCTGGGCGGCCTCTTCCCCGTGCACGCCAAGGGCCCCCCGGGCTCCCCCTGCGGGGACATCAAGAAGGAGAACGGCATCCACAGGCTGGAGGCGATGCTCTACGCCCTGGACCAGATCAACAGCGACCCGGACCTGCTGCCCAACGTCACGCTGGGCGCCCGCATCCTGGACACCTGCTCCCGGGACACCTACGCGCTGGAGCAGTCCCTCACCTTCGTGCAGGCGCTCATCCAGAAGGACACCTCCGACGTGAGGTGCACCAACGGGGAGCCGCCCGTCTTCGTCAAGCCGGAGAAAGTAGTTGGAGTGATCGGGGCGTCGGGAAGTTCCGTGTCCATTATGGTGGCCAACATCCTCCGGCTGTTCCAGGTAGGGCCGTGCCGCGGGGCTCCGCCGCTCCGGCTCCCCTTGTGCCTCTCCAGGTGCTCCATCCGCCTCCCTCCGGAGCAGCTGCTTCCCCTCCCCGCCGCCCTCTCCCTTCTCCGCCGTGCGTGGCGCCTTCTGGATTTATCGCCCCATTTGCACGAAGCAATGCCTGAGGGAAAAAAGGAAAAAAAAAAAAAAAAAAAAAAAAGGCAGGGAAGAGGCGCTGGTTGCGCTGGGTTTGCGTTAGAGAGAGCCGCGGCTCGGCGGGGA